CCTCTTTTTTCTCCAAGACTTTAAAATATTTCTACTGCGTGTAAATTATACCTTATAGATTCTGACTTCGTGACAATAAGGAAGGTGTACTTAACCGGGTAATTGAACTTGTTTACTTGGCATTTAAGTTTCCTTAGTTTTTACCAAAATCGCAAAGATATGAGGGTGCTTCCGATGGTATTTTTAGAAAGACCAAACAGGACTTAGTGAAAATCTCATCATTTATTAAAGGGCACTTTGGCTTTAATCATGAGATTTAATTACCATATAGAAAAAAAGGAAAAGTTAGATGACCTTATGTAAGAGAAGCAAGCACTCTCTTACATAAACACCCTCCATCCCCGTATGTTGATAAGAGGCTGTCCATGATGTCACAGAAACACCTGTAGAGGGATTATTGAACTATGTATGGCCCAATGGTGAATTGGGCCCACTGACTATTTTTGAAAGCCCTAGAGTTTAGAATGGTTTTTACATTTGAAATTGAAAAAAAACAACAAACAAAAGCAGGATTTTTGTGATGTAATAATCGTGGCATCAGTAAGGTTTCACTGGACCCCAGCCAAGTTCGTTTGGTCAGGGCTGCTTTTTGTGCCACAGCGGCCGAGCTGAGTTAGTTGCTGGAGACCATAAGGCCTGCAAAGTCTAAAATACTCACTGTCCGGCTCTCTGCTGAAAAAATCATTTGCCAGTGACTACGCTGGGGTGCTCCCTAAGGTCCCTTTCACCTCCGGGCTTCTAGGAATTTTACTTCCTTAGATAAGCCAGAATCCTCCATCAAAGATGACGTAGCCTGATAATATAATGATCCCAAAAGAACTGTCCCTTTTTCTGTTGTCGACATTCCCCATGGAATATGTAAAATAACACTCACTGACTCACAGAACACACATATAAACTTCCCAGGTACTAACTACTTTTAAAAGTAGGTTCTTGGTTCTAGAAAGCAGTATTTATAACTTTGAGTAATTGTACTCTATTAATAAGTTTAACAGATCATCTAGAACGAAAATGAAAAAAACCTCGACTCCCCTAGGAATTCATACCATAAAATATTTATTAATAAGTAAAATGATTTTCCCCTGCCTTTGGTAATTAAAAAAAAAAAAAAAGAGTATCTTTGTTGATACCAATTGCCAACAATAGTTTGACATTATCCAGTCATGAGCTAGATGACAGGTAGACAGATGACAGATAGGCAGATAAATGGTAGATAGGGTAGATAGATAGGAGATAGACAGCCTATAGATATTGATATAAATATGTAAAAGACCAACCTTACAACGTTTTGCTTAACAACAAATCTCGGTTTTTGCTAGCAGTTGGAAATTTACTTGCACATAAACTTATTTCTTATAAGTAAACAATACACAAATAAATTCACTTGAATTTCATAACTCAGAACACCGGTAATGAGTATAGTGCTCGCTGGAGAATAAGAGAGTAAGGAAAACAAAAACTAACTGTGGGGAAAGAAAGGCAATATGTCTTTGAAAAGCTTTTCTCTTGACTTAATACTCCCGATTGCATGAAAAATAAGCCATTTCGATAACGAAGAGTATAAAAAAGCCTTATGATCTGCAAAGTAAATCGTACTTGTGGCTTAAATTTCATCCCAAGTCTTGGATCCTGGCTGAGGAGTGATACTCAAACTTCATAAAGCGTTTCTTTGATCCTTATAAGGAAAAGAAGAAAACGTGTCATCAGATCTCGGCTGATCTTCGCTTATAAGAACAGTCGTTATCTGTACTTGGTACAGCATAGACATGGGGATCTGACAACCAAAGAGAAAGAAACGCCAAGCCACACGCGAGGCAAAAGTCAACGTAACTTGGAGAAGTAGCAAGTGATAGTCCATGATTTCAATACGAAAAACATCTAATGACGTCTTCTCAGATGTCATTGTAAAGTTGGAAAATTAGATCGTACGATCAAGAAGGGAATGGAGGATTTTATTACTACACCACTCACTACTTCAAGGTGAGAAAAATCCCAGAGTTCTGAAATGTCATTAGTTAACTCTACAATTTCTTCCAGTCTCTTTTTAACGTAGAAAATCACTTTGTAATAAGATCTCTACACAAGGTAAAAAAGCACAAAATAGACCAAAAAAGGCACAAAAATAGACAAAATATATATATCTTTTTACAATGAAATTAAGATGTGCCTGTGAAACACTGAGATCGATGACTAATCTCACAGAGTTCAAACTGGATTTCTTTTTATAATAATTGTGTTTTTTACATCTTCCCCTAAACTTTCGATGCTTATAAAAAAACTTACCCAGGTAAATGGGAAGAAACAGGTACTCTGACATGGTACAGTAAAAAAAGAAAACAACAAAAAAGGAATAATAATAATAATGACATAATTAAAACGCTTGATCTATCCGTTTACAAAATTCTTTCGACAGCCGTACCTCAAGGGCACTTAAGGGTCCAAGCATTTGTCAAACAGCGGTTAACAACGCAGGCATCTCCGAGTGACACTCTTCCCATCATAAGTCATGCATGCACTGGAAGAAAATGAAGCCATCGAAAAGATTCATGCCGTGAACAGCAGCGGCGTGCACACTCTGAAAATCCCTGCCAAGTCCACCACGGCCCGGTTTTCCTCGGCCTCACATAGGGACCTGGCTAGCACCGTGAGTTACACAGTCACAGCTGGGTACATCTTCTGTTCATTGTTAGTGTGGGGGAAGGGCGCCTGGATCTGCCTGTAGCCCGGCTGCAGGCCATCCATGAACGGGGGCACGGGAGTCATCGGCACCGGGTCGTGTTGCACCGCGTACCCCACGTACGGGGGGTGCAGGTACTGCCCTTGGTGGGGCACAATTTGGGTGGCCTGCTGACAGTTTAGCACAGAGAAATTCGTGGGCATGTTGACATACACGTTGTTCATGGTCCCCTCGGGCAAGCAGCAGTTGGTCTGTGACCTTGTTGGGGGCGCCCGGGCCCCTGAGTTGGCGCTGGAGCTGGAGCTGGCGGCTGTGCTGGACTGACGGGAGGATGACCCTCGGGACGTGCTGGCGCTGGGGATCATGGGGATGGTCTCCAGCAGGCGGTTCCCTCCCGGGGCCCGGCTCTGCTGGGGCTCCTGCTTAGGCCGGAGGCATCGGCAGCAACAGGCCGCCACCAGTGACCCCAAGATGATGAAGGCGACAAACACAGACCCAACGATGAGGAAGGGCACGTAGATGGGCACTGGAGGACAAAAACACAACGTTATGATTCACTGTAAAGATGGAGTAAAAATCAGTGACCGGCAGAAGGGATGCATAATGAGTAGCGCTGATGCTGGACCAGGACTCAGGTGGGCCGGCGTGTGCGCTTGTTAGCAGCCCATATGCACCAACCTTTATCGAGTGGAGTGGAGTGCTCTGGGAGAGGCAGTAGAGCCTGTAGGCATGGCGGACCAGCCGCCCCTCCCCCACACCACTCTGCAGCTGGACTCACCAACTTCAACACTGATTGATGCAAATACCCAACTCAGCAAAAATATGTGTCATGTTTTAAGACGCTTCTAAAATTCCCATAATAACTGAACTGCCCAAACTTAAGTCTGCCTTAGACAGTTCTAGGATCCATTTGGAAATGAATTTAAATTCGAAAGGCTTTTTTCTTCCCAGAAAGTTACATACTTTGCGAACTCCTTTTACCATTATTTAGCAAATTCTTCTTTCATAGGCAAATAAATCAAAAGCTAAGGTCAGACTCTTAGCTTTTGGCTAAGCTAAAAGGCATGACCCTTTCCAGAAAGGACAGAGGTCAAAGAATGGTGAGTCCACACGTGCTTGCCTCATCGAGGTGGGTCCTTGGCTGGCAGGCCTAGCATGGAGCACAGGATGGTGGAAAGGGGAGGTGACTTGTGTGTGGTCAAGTTACTCCAGACACGGGACAGCATGGGACAAGGTACCAAGAAGAAATGTCAGGACAACAAGACACTTGTCCCAGGAAGGAGAGCTGCCCAGCAAGGCAGCCGGCAGGCCCAGCAGGGCTGGGGTGGGACAGCCACCTGCAGTTGCAACGCTGGATGCCGTATGAGGAACTACAGGGAAAGCCTGCAGAGCAGCATGGACACCATGTTCAACAAGTGAGGTTGACTCTGAAAATTAAACTGTAAAAGACAATAATATCACTAAAATGGGTAGCAAGCTCCGTTTTTACATTAATATGAGGAACTACAGGGAAAGCCTGCAGAGCAGAAGCACGGACACCATGTTCGACAAGTGAGGTTGACTCTGAAGAATTAAACCGTAAAAGACAATAATGTCACTAAAATGGGTAGCAAGCTCCGTTTTTACATTATCTCACTTTTAAAAATCTGTGGTGACAGCAGCATGGGGCTTCCAGAAGACAGACACGCTGGCTGGTGGGGGCAGAGAATCGGGAGGGGCCTGTACAATGCCCTAAGCCGCTTCCTTGGAATTCCACCCAAGGTTACCAAGAACCTTCGGTTTCTGATGTGTTCCTGCCATGTCCTCGGCTGTTTGACGGAAAACACATGAGGACAGGGACAAGGTCAGCCTGGTCTCAGCAGAGCACAGCACCAGTACAGTGACATGGGCCGACCTGAGGTCACCACGTGAAAGATCTGCCCTTGACCGTTTGCTGGAAGAGCCGCCTTTCAGATTACGCTCCTTTTGACGGCCCTGGTCCTCTTGGAGTTGGGGTTTTTAGAATATAGGAGCACATGGAGCCATGGAGAAATGGTGCCTTAGAAGCGAAACGAATTTTCTAAGTATTTAACCAAAGTTGACCTTTGCAGATTTCCTTAACCTTCAAGGGTGAACAGAGTAAATACAGGATTGACACCTGGTGTCCCTTTAGCAGGTAGAAATGCTTGCCACAGTTTGCAGCCCAGCTGGTTTTCTGTCAGGACCGTTCCAATTACACTGTCACTTCAGGCTAATTACAGCACATGAGGGCAGTGGATACGGACTTTTCCATCCACATACTATAAATATTTCATTCTCTAAACTAAGAAAGCAGCCCTAAAATATGTCACCAAGAAGTAAACAGATAATAGTTTTTAAAATCCTAAACATTATAGCAAAAACCAGCTGAAAGCAGTCTAAGTCCACATAATGAATTCTGGGGAGAAATAACTGTTCTCTTCCTAGGGTTTTTAATTGGAAGCGTCAGTAACTACACAGAGGTAAGGAACGCTGTGCTTCTCTAAGCCCTGGGCACTGCTTAATTAGGCATGTCCTTCTTGACTGCAGAAGAGGCGTGAGAGGAACAGAATTTTTAGGAAACAAGATTTAAAAGTAGAGTGAAGAAGGCACCCACGCACATCACACAGCGTCATGAGAAGTGTGCTGCCCACTTATCTGTCCAAAGCCAACCTAACTTTTTAGGGGCCAGGAATGAGCCCAACTTAGCAGACACGGGGAGGGAGCAGTTCCCATCTCTGGCTCATTTTTCAAGGTTTCATTCCACAGCCACACACCCCGCAACGCTGAGCTTGTATTTTGAGATGGCACCTTTTCTGGAATTACCCTCAGTTCTCTTCTCTTCAGAGTCAATGCTGCGGAACAACAGGAGTCACTCGCTAATAAAATGCTTGACTGCAAAGGGCCCAGCCCTGAGAGAGCTGCCTCCGAGACCGCTCTGTAAACACAGCCGCCATTCAATGCCACTCAGTGCCAAGCTCGGGCAGCGCGAAGCCTGGGCTCAGATTGCTGGCAGAAAAGTCCTGTCCTCACCATAACCAGCTGCAGAAAAAAAGGGGACCGCCCCCTCTGCTGGCATGCTTGCCATCTGACCTCTACCCCTGAGCCCACGACCTAAACGCTCCCTCCCAGACGCACGTTGATGAGGGCCCTGGAGGGAGGCCGTCTGGGAGGTTTGTGGAAGGCAGAGGAAGTGGAACCTATCAAATTCTTTCACGGGTTTATTTTTCCAAGTCTAGCTTTGCCGATTTGAAAAAATACAATCTTAAAAAAAAAAAAATCAAAGCCACAAAGAGCGAGGCTGGGCACAGCTCTGATGTCACACCTACCAAGTCTGGCAAGGTGAGAAATGGGCAGAAACCGGAGAGGCCGGGGCTGGCAGGGGAGGTGCGGCGGTGTCGGAGGATTAGAGTCCCCGAGATCTGGTCAAGTGCGTCATCCACAGTGGGCCTTGACGAGCCTACATGGAAGTGCCCCTGCCAGACAGCTCGGGAGGGGACACACCCTCACGGCTTCCTCGGGTGCTCCCAAGACATTAACCCTTCCTAGAAGTTAGACTTCTGGGGGTAGGAGGCATGGAGGGGTCACAGAAGCCCTTGGCCGTGGGGCTGTCTGCGGCCCTCCCTGCCTTAGACGTGTGGCTTTCTTGGGAAAATTCCAGACAAGCCACTCTTTGGCCCACAGATGGGGAAACCGAGGCCTGGGGCGGTGAAGCGCCTCCCTCCCTCGCACACATTAACGGCTGGGCCAGAAGGCAGGCACCTCCTCCTGGACGGAGGCCCTTTTCTGCTCCTAATTCCTCGCCCCTCTCCAGGCTCCCGGACCCGTGCCGTCTAGGCGAAGCCCACCCTCCTCCCCTCTCGCGCTCTGCCCGGCCGCCCTACCTGCCGAGCCGTCTGGGCCTTCTTTGTCCGCCCGGCCAGGCTCCCCGGCGCCCTGCTGGCGGTCGTTGTCGCAGCCGCCCTGGTCCAGGCGCGCCTCGGCGCTGGAGCAGCAGTAGCGCAACGCGCAGCTGCCGCAGCAGATGGTG